AAAAAAAGTCCTCGTCTGAAATCGGAATTTTTCGACTTAAGTGATTGATCTTGAGAGATTAATTTCAACTTCTGCCAAAATTATACCACTTGGGCAGAGAGACTAATACATCTGACCATTTGTCAAACTGTCTCCCTACAATATTTGGAAGTCAAAAAATTTATATTTTCCAATTAAGGGAATTTGGAAGTTTTATTCATTCACAAATTGCTTGAGCTGGGCTCATCTGGAAGAGTCTCATGAACGTTAGATCAAAGACCAATATGTAGACTGAGGAAATAAAAAATGCGTCACACTAGATTAAAACCTCTTATATATTTTTGTGTAAAACCTGGGAGGATTCTAGTTTATTTGTTTATTTTACTTTTCATTACAGAATGTGGCAAAGCCGGTTAGACAGCTTAATAATAACAATGTTATTAGTAGTTAACGTTTGCTGTTTGATCGAAGCTACCGATCTATAATTTATTTAAGAGAGTGTAGCTTTTGACTTTTTTGTGTTTTTTTACAAGTGTCTTCTTCTCAACATCATGATTTTCTTTATATAGCCTTGAAAAACGTGCTATCTGATTTTACCTGTAACTTTTAACAGTAACGTGGATTTTATACAAAAAGATTACCCCTTTTGTCAGAGCGTCCCGGACCTCACCCAAAAATCTTGTTTTGTTCACAGTTCACATTATAAGTTGAAAAAAAATAAAAATAAAAAACACTCCTATTCACCAACAAAAACAGAAAATGAACGTGAGAAGTACATAAGACCTAATATGGGCAAATACAAAAACTAAGGAAATTAATAGAAAAGTTTGATCCCTCCAAACTTAACTTTCTTTATAAAGCTTAAAATGCAAAATATTGGGGACCTTTTTGCCAATCCAAGCGTTTTGCGCTAATCCAGAAAGTTCAATTACTTAGTTGGGCTTTTGGTTGGTGATACTTCTGAAGGCTTCGGAGGGAACCTGAATTTTTTTGGCCCATAAAACTAATTACAAATCGGCGAGAGAGTTGTCCACGACAGAGGTGCACATGCGATGCGTCCTCCAGGACGGTAGAAGGTAAAAACCACACTTTCGTAACTGCGTCTGAGCTGCCCCTCGGTTGGAGCCGAAAACCTGAGTAAAAAATCAGTGTATTTTTAAAGATATAATTTTGGCTTCTGCCAAAGATTAACTAAATTTTTTAGAGGAACCACCCGACGCTTATGTAAACTTTTTTTCCTATGGACTGTTTTTACTTTTCAAAGTAAAATGGGTCCTGGCTCATCTTCAGAAATACATTTACACTTCAAAGTACAAAAAATATGAGGTGTCGTCGGACTGTCATATTTTCGTAATCTCGAAGTCTTTTTTTACGAATCAACTAAGACGACACGTAGCCTTACGTTTCGGCCACGTGTAAAGGACTAGAAGCATGTACATCGCTAATCTGGACAAGTACCACTGGTGAAGGTGTATTGTCAGTTTTCAAAGTACTTCTCCCCAAAAAATCACCAGTTCTGCATTAAGAAAACCATCACTTTCACAGTTCCATTCACAAGAAATAATTCATCTTTTTTTTACAAAATAGTAAATGAACCAGTCCCGCTCCAAATGAGAATTGATCCTTTCTCGTGAAGTTCGTTATACTTAAGCGCGCATTCAACAGTTCCGAAACAGTCTTGTAAACTGCAACCGTTCGAGCAATGTCCGAAGTCTCCTTAAGTAAAATCAACCGAATCCCAAAAATATTTGTTGAATTTTAGAATACGGAAAATCGCCCTGAACTGAGGAACGAAAATGCTCATTCCTAAGTGCCTTAGCACTTACGGGTTGTTTTATAAAAAAAAGTCGGTGTTGTGAATCGATTAAATCTTTTTGTTTTTTGACTTCAACATCGAAACTTCATGTCATGCAAATCCCAGAAATTACTGACGATTTTGAGCTACACATTACCAAAGTCCCTAAACACCTGGTAAGTATGATTAAAGTGTAAGTGAAATTGCTCTGAAGATAGGATACGTCAGCATCTCAGCAAGCAAAAAATCGGCGAGTAGCAGAACAGAAATACACACACTGATGTCACGAACAAATAAAGACATAGCATAAGTTAATGTTCCACCAAACGAAGAAGTTAATGGCCTAAAATTAGATTACCTAATCCGTAATAAGATGTTCTTGAAGAAGAATCGACTTCACTCCAGAACTAATTCAAGTCTTTGTCTTTCCTTTTAAAAATTGGAAATAGCATGTCACGAAAGTCCAGAGGAATCCTAATTACTGCGATCTATTATATACCGGAATTCTCAAACGTGAAAAGAATTATATTTCAAATGGAACATGGCAACCCGCCAATTGCAGATTCTCTGCCTGCCGCAAGAATCCGGAGGGAAGTGTCGGGATTCAGGCTCATTTCTGTATCTTGGGTCCTGGGACTTTTTTGTCGTGCTTTTTAATTTCGGGACTTTGCAAAAGCCTTGTTTTAAATTTATGTTGCCGCAGCAGCTTGGTTTTACGTGACTCTCTTTCCATCTTCTCTGCAGTTAGTCAGGACCTATTTAAAAAAGCTTTTTCAGCCGCAGTGGTTCTAGGGTTTTGTCACAGACGATTTTTAGACCGTTGGAGAAGTGTGGGTTCATGGGCTGCAATTCAAAAAGCAGTTGATTCTTAATGTTCAGGAAAATTAACCTTTTTTAAATAAAAGTTCAATGGTGACTATAAAGTGTAGAAATCGAACTACTTTCTTATACATTTGTATAGTCTGTTATGGAGCCCTAGAAGCAGAGATCTTTTCCAATTAAGTTGCTTTCCATGAGACCTCTTGACTCTTTTCAGTCGTCAAGTTTGAGGTAGATTATTGAAATGGAATGATGACGCGGAGTTGAACTTTAGAACTGTGTATGAACTGAATTGCAGAATAAATTTTTGTGTGAATTTAACTTTGCTTACATGACCACACATTTTCCTCCATTTTTTTTGGTTAATCCGCAGTTTATTAATAACTTTTCATGCAGATTACATGAAAAATGCAAGAGAAAATTAAATATATATTGATCTGTGACTGCACTGAATTGTAGAATTGTAGTCTTCTTTTGGTTGCCGGCAGAGTTATATTAAAATATTTTTAGCTTTTGGTTCTATTCATTCAAGAAACTACAAAAAATAATTTTTAATGACGTGATGACTGTATTAAATGGTGCGAATAGTGGTTGTTTTCAAAACGTGGCAAAAGTGCAAAAAGGTACTTTTCTTTCTTTTCAGTTTTGAAATAGTTTTGTTAAGTAGCTGGCTGATATGGACTTTTTTAGCCCATAATAGAGAAGTAAAGAAGGTAGCTTTTGTAAAAGATGATGCGGCTCAGAGATATTTGCTGATAACTTGTTCTCACGATTCAGTTAAAGTATGGACTTTGTGAGTATTTGCTTTAATTGAAGTTCATTACGTTGTCTTAATCTACACTGGGTTAATTTTATTTATTGTCCTAGATCGCCAGGTGCTGACGATACAGTTTCGCTATCAGAAGAAAATGAGATTAAAGGATGGAGAAATGGTGTACAAGACTTTGATGTCACAGCGGATGGAAAAAGTTGATTTCAGTGTTTGCTTTCTAGAGGCTTCTTTTGTATCTGTAACTTCATGTTTCAGCTTAAACTTTCAATATTGGTAATTACAGTAGTCCTTTTTTTATTAAGCTCGATCCTCCTCTTTGCTGTCATTTAATTGCTAGAGAGCCTCAGAGGTTAAAGCTGTTAAAGTCAGAATTCCGACACTGTTTTTTTTCGATAAGGAGCTTTTGTATAATTAAATAGAATTAGACCAAATATTTAAGGGCAGAAGTCCGGAAAATGACTGCTGCTTCAGAAAAAGAGCAATTTTAAAATTTTGCTTCGCAATTAAAAGAACCGCTAAAGTTGATTAGATATAAAGGTCGCAGTTAGGGAACAAAATGAAAAACCAGAAGGTTTAAAAAAAGATAATTTACCAAA